CACTCAGGATGGTTTCTTCCAGTGCTATCCATTTACCTGAGAATTTCAAGATTCAATTTCACTAATCCTGATTCTGGGCCATACAGAGACAGCTTCTAGTCCACCATTGTTTCCTGAATTATTCTTTCTCTAAGAAATTGCAATATGTTTTTATTAAAATGTACTTTCCTTGGTGTTGATAGTCAACTATTTCATATATGTTGTTTCTTCATACCTTACCAAATTATCTAATGACCACAAGGCATATTAAATTTCTTTAGTTTATATACTCACTAAAATTTTTATTGTGGTGAAGTATGTGTAACAAAACCTCTATTTTATGTTTTTATTCTTATGCTGTGTGTATGTGGTGTTATATGTGGTACAAACAAGTGAATGCACCTATGTGCATGTTTGTAGAGAACAAAGGGGAGGTCCTTGGGCATCCTCTTCTATCACTATGCTACTTAGTGCCTTTAGCTGAGACTCTCCTCTGACCAGGAAGCTTGCTCCCTTTCCTAGGTTGGTTGAAAGCAAGGTCCAGAGACTAACTCATCTCTACCTCCCAGTTGCAGGTTTTATAGGTGTGATCAGCTTTTAACCTGAGTACTGGGAATTCAGACTAAGTTGTTCCTGTTTTCAGAGATAATTGTTTTTATCCACTGAATCATTTCCCCAGTCCCTGTTCCTAATGGTTTTTACCATCTCTTGTTAAGTAAATAAACATTTCGTTGGCAAAAACAAAAGCAAACATTTGTTTACCTTGATAGCATGATTAAAACTTACATCAATATTTCTTTCCTGTTTTGAATATTAGATAAATTTAAATATCAAAATTGAATATATTCTAGTTCCTGCAAATAGTTACATCTCAACCACATTGAATGTTAAGTTATAACTTTAGAGTATTGTCTCCCTCTTTCCCTTTCTCTTCCTCTTCTCTCCCCTCTCTCTACCTTCCTCCTCCGTCGCCACCCCCATCCTTTACATTCATTCTTTCATTTACTCTTCAACATGAAGACAAACATTATGATGAACAATTTTTCCCTCTTGGTTCTTAGATTTTCCTTTGGGTAGTTATAGTTTTTTATTATATTTTATTATTTAAAGCATTTTTTGGTTTTTACGAGACAGGGTTTCTCTGTATTGTTTTGGAGGCTATCGGTCCAGCCCGGCCTCGAATTCACAGAGATCCACCTGCCTCTGCCTCCGGAGTGCTGGGATTAAAGGCGTGTGCCACCACCGCCCAGCTTAAAGCAAATTTTAAATTGAAATATACTTTGGTTATATTCTTCTTCTCCCCTAAGTTCTTCCAGATCCACTCCCCCTCCCTACTCATCCAACTTTAAGTTCCTTCTCAAAAAAACAAAACCCCAATATAACAAAGCCCCCCAAATCATGAAAACAAAATACACCACTACCCAAAAGAGAAACACACACACACACACACACACACACACACACACACACCAAACTGTAACCAAATAAAAGCTTGTGGGGTCCATTAAATGTTGGTCAACCACTCCTGAACTTAAAGCCTTTCCTAGAGTGGTTTCTCCTTTGGAGAAAACTAATTTTTCCCTCTCCTAGCAGGTATAAATAACAGTTCAATTGTTAACCTTTACCCTAGTGTCTAGGTATTCATTCATTCATTTGCTTTTTTAAAATAAAATAAAATATAAGATAAAACAAAAGCTATCAACATCAAAATTAGACAAGACAAACTAACAGAAGGAAAGGAGCCCAAGAGAAGGTATAAGAATCAGAAACACACTCACTAGCACACTCAGGAATGCCATAAAAAGACTAAACTAAAAGCTATAACGTATATGCAGAGGGCCTGGTGCAGGCCTGCGAGGCTGGGTGCATGCTCAGTCTCTGTGAGTTCCTATAAGCTTTGCTTGTGTTGATTTAGAGGGCCATGTTTCTTCGTGTCTTCCATCCCATCTGGGCCTTACACTCTTTCTGCCTCCTCTTCTGCAGGTTCCCTGAGCTCTGAGGGTAGGGCTTAATGGAAACATCTCATTTAGAGCTGAGTGTTCCAAGTTCTCTCTTTCTCTGCATAATGTCTGGTTGCAGGTCTTTTTATTGTTGTTGTTGTTCCCATCTCCTGCAGGAGGATATTCTCTGATGATAGTGAACATCTATAAATATAGCAGAATTTCATTAGGAGTCATTTTATCTCTCCTTTTTTTTCTGTTTTTAGACCAATGTTATTTGGTTTTTCCTTAGGTCCCTGGACTATCTAGTCTCAGGTTCTTGGTCACCCAAGCAGTATTGGGTATGGGTTCCATCTCGTGGAGTGGACCTTAAATCAGCTACTGGTTCCTTACTCCCACAAGCTTTGTGCCACTATTGCCTTAACATATCTTGCAGTTAGTACATCGTTGTAGATAAAGAAAGTTTGTGACTGGCTGGATGTTTACATTTTCCTTTTGACAACATGCAGAGTACTGCATCCGAAGACTGAAATGTACAGGTGAAGGCTTTATGTAGGTACTAGTTAGACATATTTATAGTCAATGAATTGTGTAGGTACTATCTTCAGCAGTTGGGTCTTGCTGTCAGTTTGTGGAGAGCAACCTATGGTTTTGGCAACACCTGGGCTATTTGGGGATTCTCTGAAGCTTCTTTGGCCTATAATTCAATTAGATATAACCCAATCCCAGTATTGAAAGCTTTATTTGGTGATAAAAGACAGCCAGTTGGGACTCTGTTTCCCCCATTATCTAGTGATTCCATTTAGGTCACCTTCATATATGTATATATTTTAGGAAGTTTCTACGGTATTAGGCTTCATACTACCTCTCAAATGTTCCTTAATTTTAACTGTCTCTCCCCCTAGTCCCTCCCATAATCCCCTCTCTTTCCCCAACCCCACCTGATCCTTCCCTTCTGTCCCCCAACCCCTCCTGCTTTTCATTTCACACATTTACATCTAAGTACCTGTGGTAAGGATGAAGTTTAGTGGTAGCACACTTGCTTAACATGTGAAAGGCTCTGGGATCAGAATAAAATTTTAAATGCCTAAGTTACATTTTTTTTATTTTCTTTTTTTTAAATTTTATTTTCCAGTTTAAATTTAGATAAGAATCAAGGTTGCTTCACAAGTCAGTTCCAGGTCCCTCTCCCATTCCCTCCCTTCCTCCCGTGCCCTCCCCCCCCCGTTATCCCCTCATTTCTCCAGGGAGGGTGAGGCCCTCCATGGGGGTGTCCATAGTGTGTCATTTCATATAGGACAGGGCCTAGACCCTTTCCCAAGAGTTCAGGGTGAGAGTGCACCTCACATTGTTCTATTGGAGTCCAAAGTCCGTGTGTATACTTGGGATGGGTACTGATCTGCTGCCCAAGGCTCAATAGAATCCCTAGGCCTCTTCACTGACACCCAGATTCAGGGGGTCTTGATCAGTCCCATGCTGGCTTCCCAGGCTAATGCCTGGGATTCAAGAGTTAACCTTTGTCTGGTCAGCTGTTTCTGGGGGTTAGACCAGCCCAGTCTTAATCCCTTTGATCATCAGTCCTCCCTCTCTGTTACTGGCTTTCTTGAGTTCAGCTCAGTACTTAACCAAGGGAGTCTGCCTCTTCTTCGATCAGCCACTAAATAAAGTTTCTGTTTCCCAGACTCTCTGGCCATAGGATTGTAGGCTGGCACTCCCCAGATCTATGTCTAAAATCCATATATGAGAGAGTACATGCCATGTTTCTCTTTTTGTGACTGGGTTACCTCACTCAGGATGGTTTCTTCTAGTGTCATCCATTTGCCTGCGAATCTCATGATTCCATTATTTTTTTCTGCTGAATAGTACTCCATTGTGTAGATGTGCCACATTTTCTCTATCCACTCTTCAGGTGAGGGACATCTAGGTTGCTTCCACGTTCTGGCAATTACAAATAAAGCTGCTATGAACATAGTGGAACAGACATCTTTGTTGTATGAATGGGCATCTTTTGGATATATGCCTAAGAGTGGAGTTGCTGGGTCTTGTGGTAGGTTTATTCCCATTTTTCTGAGGAATCTCCACACTGATTTCCAAAGTGGCTAAGTTACATTTTTAAAATTGTGTTTTTCTTTCATATTTTGTGCTTACTCTCTGCCTATAGGATAAAATAATGTTTCCCAAACATCTTCATTGTGTTGTTTACTGTTCTAGGCGCTTGATATGGTTCCTTGCTGCTGTTATCAAATTCAAGTGTAGGTGTGGTCTTTGAAGTAATTCATTCTTACCTTTCCCCTAGCTATTCCAACATAACAATGATCAGAATATATTATATAAAAATCTATTTTAATAATGATACAATTAACAATTTGTACTTGGAAATCAAGAATTTATGGTTTGCTGAATTTATCCTACTTGTCATTAGCTATGACTTGCTTCTCCATGCTTGCGTTTGCATATGCTGCTGTCCGGATCTGAAATACTGCGCTCTTTGCAGCACTTCAGGCTGGCAGGAGAACTCTGCACTAATAACATGGCTTAGTGGACAAAGGCCCCTGACACCAAGCCTGACAACCTGAGGGTTTAGCTTCTACCACAAATATTTTAAGAAATTTTATATATTTCTTTGAAAAATATAAAAATTTACATATGCTTTACTATTTAAAAGAACTTTAAATATCATATTAAATATATTTTAACTTTAAATTGTAAAAAGGTATGATAATAAAATAGTAAATAGTAAAAGGTATATTGTACCTTTAAATGTAATACCTAGTTGGGATAAATTTAAGACATTGGACTTAGTGAAAAATATTTTAGTTTAATACTATTATTGTATTCATATTAATAAGGTGTGTCATTATGGCATGTAGGAAGCCTGGAAAGAAAATTAATTTCCATCATTATTAACATCTCATTTTATAGATAATTATTATTTTGTAAGTATTGAAATAAAATGATTCTTTTTATGGTGCTAAAAGGAGTGAAGTTTATAATGTTTACAAACATTTTAAGGCTTGATTATGACAATTATGTCATGTTTTATCTTTGTAAAATGACCTATATATTGTCTTTATCTATTAGTTTTCCAATCTTTGAAAATCCATATCCAATGGACATTCATGAGTCACCAGTTACATGCACAGCATATTTTGCCGATTGTCCTCCAGATTTGATTCTAGTACTCTATTCTATAGGAGTCAAGCATAAAAAACAAGGATACAGTAATAAGGTAAAGATTTTCTGTATTTGTATGTATGATCATACTTTTTCTTGTCTTTTTATATAACATTTTATTTTTCTTGTCTGAATTTACATACAATATGACTTGAATGAAACTTTTGAAGTTGTAAGATGACATTGTGAAAGATGTAACCAGTGAAATTCAATTTCCTGACTGTGGCATAGTTCTAAGCCTATAAGGCTATAAATTTCCCATACACTAAGTGTGTGATTATATACTAAGATCTATTTATCAGTCATGCTTATTTTGTACTACTTATATAAAGTATCAGAGTCATAATAAGTACTCTTTAATTCTTTTACATAGATCATATTTTAAGAAATTCAAGAATTAGTTCTTCCTAATTTATCATTTGAAAGATTAAAACATTCGTTGCTAACATAATGAGAGTTTTCTTTACAATGTTTAAGATACAAGTATTTATAGTTATCACAAAGTAATTAGTATGGTTTCTGTTATTGACTCGGGATAACTGAAATGTACAATTTAAAGAAACACTATTTACATTCTGTTCTGGGTTAAATTGTACCATAATAGCTTGTAGCAACACATACTGCATGGCACATGCTGCATCACTGTAGTTATTCAAATAAAAATGCTCCTCTTATTGCCTTGTATAAGTGGTAATATTGTTGAAAATCTATTTTAAAGGAGTTGTTATTCTGCATTTACAGATCTATTTGCTTAATAAAAGAATTGAAGATAGCTATATATTTGATCTTTGGATGTTTTGTAGTGATCCAATATTAAATATTTCTATTATTTTGTTACATTTAATTCTAAGATTCAAAGCATTTAAACTGAAACTATAAAAACCATGTGTTCTTCTTGATAATCTAATTAGGAATGGCCAGTAAATGGAGGGGCTTGGAATCTTGGAGCACAAACTTATCCAGAAATTATTATTACTGGGTAAGTAAGAAGTTTTCTAGGTTGTAAATTATAACAAATTATATTATAAATTTAATCACAGTAAAAATATTTGTTAAGCTTTTATACTTTTATGAATTTGTATTCTATGCAGATGAATCATTTAAGTAAAAGTAAGAAGTAAGAACCTAAGAAATAGCTTTAATCTATAGTCTTTAATGAAAGGTACAATAATATTGCTAGAAAAATAATTAAAAAGAATTGTATCTAGATTATATTAGAAGGAAGTCATAGGAAAATTATGAGAGAGATACATAAGGAATGCTTCATTTGGAATCATGGAACATTAACTTCAGGAAAGCCCTGAACAAAACTTCATGATGCCTACAAATTTCAGGAACCATGCTTTGTATCCCCTTTGAATGTAAGACATCCTCTATAGGCTCAAGTATTGACTTCTTGATACCTACCTGATAGTGCTATCTTGGTAAAATGAAGAAGCCCCAGGAGATAGAATCCAACAGGTGAAAATAGGCCACTGGGTGCATGCCTTGAAGGGTTATACCAGTACCTAACCCCTTCTTTTTCCTTTCCATCCGTCTTGAGATGAATAATCTGTCAATTGCTCCCAATGCTGTGGTGTGAACTGTTCTGCCATACCCTCCCTGCCATGGTGGACTGTGAACCCTTGAACAAAACCAAACTCTTCTCTCAAGTGTTTAAATTAGGTATTTTATCCCAGTGGCAAAACATTCATCAAATGGCTAAAATTTGCTTCAAAATTTATAGCATCAGAAATGTTACTACTCTGAAATGGATGGTGATGGCACATGCCTTTAATCCCAGCATTTGGGAGGCACAGGCAGGTAGATCTCTGTGAGTTCAAGGTCAGCTTGGCCTACAGAGTGAGTGCCAAGAGAGGATCCAAAGGTACACAGAGAAACTCTGTCTTGAAAAGCCAAAAAAAGTTACTAATTTAGACCAACCCTCTTCAAGTTATGATATTAGGAATCAAAAAGAGAAATAGTTACATAAAATATATAATATAATATATAAACATATAAACATAAAATCTACATTATAAATAGGAAGTGTTTTAATAGTATCACATAGTAAATTTTGTACTAATGGTGACAAGTTCCTCTTCTATCCCAGGCAAAACAAATAACAGAAGTGATTTCTCCTTATCCAAAGAATGAGAAAAGGAATACTTTACTGAGTCATGAATCTTATCACAAACTAATATCTCTAAATTAAATCACTCACACACACACACACACTATGAACTCAACACATTTTAGCAAAGGCCAAATTCAAAGCTTAGACTTTTGTCATCACCAGACTCTAAAATTCTCCAGTTTTTTTTTTCTCAGAAGGCAGAATAGAGACCTGAGACTTTCATCTCCACTGAGTAAAACCCATCTCTGGTGACATCAGTAGAAATCACATGAAGTCAGGATTCCCAGCACACCCAGCAATAATGAGCAGTGGCCACTATTTCCTATCTCTTTCTCAATGTCAGTCATATGAGGTGGGAGAAAAGAATGTGGACAGTGCTAGAAAAGCATTCAAAGAAACAATGGCTGAAGTCTTAACAAATTTAGCATAAAACATGAACCTACAGGGTCTATAAGTTGAAATAAAACCCAGGACATCTACAGCAAGATGTTTCATGGTCAAACTGTGCACCAAAGAAAAGTGTTGAGATGCACAAAAGAGAATAGAACTCTCACACATAAAACTAAACTAATGTGATGAATGACAGATTGTGCATGAGAGAATCTTGAAGACAGCCAGGATTGTCCACCCTGGACTAGGTATACAGCCACTATGAGGGGAAGCAGTATGTCTGAGTGTTTGGCTGATACCATGTGCCAGCCCTGTCAGGTCCAGTTTGTCCTTACAAAGTAAGTCATCAACAGCAATGGGGTACTCTACCATGAGTAATGCTTTGTGTGAGCACAGTGTTTGTGGCTTTTGTGTGAGTTTGAGGGCAGGAGGTACAGTGAACATGACTTCCTAATGCTGTTTGCTCCATTTTGTGGATTCTGAAGTTAAGTTTGTCATTGGACGCGTGATCAAGGCCATGAGGTTGGTGAACTAGCATCTAGGTTGTTAACATTGTGAATTGTTTTGTGGCGCTAGATGACCTGAGCTTTGTGAGGAATGCAGGGACACCTCTGCTGACCTTGCCATAATTCATCTGCCAGCAGTATCTTCTGATTGTTCAAGAATGATGATACCACTTCTGCTGCTTCCACTGGGGAAGGAGCTGACCTCTAAGCCCAAGAGTATGACACCACTCTATTGACTGCCTTGCCATGACAACATGGATGTCCCCATAGAGGGCTGTGTAGTAGAGGCAGTGGGAAACAGTGGCATGTGGAGCGAGAAGCCATTCCTATAACTCCAGCAATCATAAGAAGGGCCTGGCCTTCTGTGAGACCTACTGTAATCAGGTCTTTGGGGGAAGGACATCTGCTACAACTGCAGTCATGTGATTGAGGTCATGGAACACGTTTGTGGTGCCCTACATGAAACCTGTGTGTAGGAGGTACTATAAAAGGTTCCCCCTGGAGTTGAAGAAAAAGCTGAAGAAACTGTCTAATCTGACTTCCCAAAAGGCCCAGCCAAGTCTTTGGACATCAACTCAGTCTGTAGGTCCTCCATCTACCTGCCTGTAGAACCTGATGGTCACCTCCCACTTGTACTCTGTCCCAACCTCCTTCCTCTGGTATGTCACCCTTTCTGTGCCTAGTCTGCCCTGGGCTACGTAGTACTCTTCTCCTGTGTCATTTCATCTTATGCCCATATCTCCAGGGACAGGAACAAGTTGGGGTGGGGAGATAATTGAAGGACATTTATGTTGTTATGGATATAAGCAGGGAGCTCACAATTGAAGAAATTAAAATGACTGAGAAATACCTGAAAAATGTTCATACTCCTTAGCAATTACAGAAATGCAAAAACAAACAAACAAATGAAAACTTTAAGATTTCATCTCATCCTATTCAGTATGATTAAGAACAAAAAACAGGGCTGGAGAGATGGCTCAGAGGTTAAGAGCACTGACTGCATTTGCAGAGGACCTGAGTTCAATTCCCAGCAACCACATGGTGGCTCACAACCATCTGTAATGAGATATGGCGCCCTCTTCTGGCATGCAGATATGAATGCAGGGAGGATACTGTATACATAAGTAAATAAATCTTTTAAAAAAAAAGAACAAAAAACAACTTGCAACTCCTGGTGAGGTTGTGGAGAAAGAGGAACTCTCATTTACTGTTGGTAGAAATACAAATTTGTATTTCCACTCTGGAATCAGTATGGATAATCCCAAGGAAACTAAAACTAAATTTACTATATAACATTTCTTGGTATAAGCCCAAAGGATGAAACATCTTACTCTACAGATACTTGCTCATCAATGCTCATAGTGGCCCTATTCACAATAGCCGGCAAAGGGGAAAGAGGTAGCACTGGTCAGAGGTAACTTTGGAAGTGTTCTAAAACTAGATTAGAATGTCAATGTGAATATTAATTAACTAAAATATTAAACTATACTGTGTATGATATTTCAATAAATCTGTTGAAGTAAATTATAACTATCACCCATTAAAAACGGCTAAACATATAAATGAGGACCAACATCTCAGCTAATATGTTTCACGCATATGTACGCACACACACACACACACACACACACACACACTCCAATATAAAAATAGATTCAGTAGATTTTTAGAAGACTTAAACTATAGATAGAATCCTCTAACCTTTTGATTTTCAAAATTTTGACTTTCGTAGTTCCTTTACATACACGTCTTCTAATCAGTTTATTTCTACAATTTTTTGAAATATTCCACTGAGGTTTACACTGAATCCATTTTATTTGTGAGAACCACTATAAATGTTATGATCATCAGGAGTATACTATTACTATTCTCTTATGAATACCTCTTCTTTCTCTGATCAGCATTTTATATTTTTAGCTTATGACTAACATAAATTATAATGGTTTATATCTAAATGTTTTGTAGTTTCTTATTATTGTAAATGGTAATTGATACTTTAATCTTCCAATTTCTTTTTTCAGTTAAAAAGAAACTACTGATTTTTCTGTGCTGGCCTTCAATTAAGTAGCACTTTTGTTGAGTTATTGAGATTTTGCTGCAAATCAATTATAAGCTCTACAAATAGCAATGCTATTTCTTTTTTTTCATCTTGTTGGTTTATAATTTGTTTTTCTTATTTTAATGCAATGTTTAATACCTCCACCACAACACTGAATGGTGAAAATAAGTATTTTTTGCATTGTTACTGATCTAAAGAGGAAAACATTTGCAATCATGTATGCTAGGCAACGTATGTAGCTGACTCTTAGCTGTCCTTTATCAAATTAAAGGCATTTCTTTTCCTCATCAATCATGTTTCTTCCTGAGGTGGTGAATTTTGGTCTAGTGCCTTTCTACACCATTTGGAATAACCAAATGAATCTTCTTATTTTGGATAATTAGATTTTTTATTCTGAATAATTAAGATTTGCCAACCGATTTTTATCAAAATGTTTACTTGGTTCTTCATTCCTGACAAATTCCTCTTGGTTATGAGGAATTATTCTTTCTATATTTTTTACTTACCCATATTTTCTTGACATTTTTGTCTATGTTTAGTAGGATATTGTTGAATCTTCTTTTGCTGGAATATTTTTTCTGGATTTGGTTTCAGATAATTCTGACTTTACCAAATGTATTGGGAAGTGCTGTGGTCTCTTTGTTTTATAAATAAGTTTGTATAGCATTGTTATAATTTATATATTAATCATGACAGTTTTTAGAACAGTTCAGATATTTGCTTTTATATTTTGATAAATATTCAAGTTACCTTTTATTAAATGTTAACAATCTTATTTTAAAATACTGTTCATTTTCACAAGTCATTTTACTGTTCACTATGATACATATAATCTTACAGAAAGAAAATCTAAGGATTTTCTTTTTTCACATCTTTAGAGTACAATGTATTTTTTCAGATTATAAATAGTTTACCATACATGAATATTCATTACAATGATATTTTAGTGAAAATATGAACAATAGTAACTCAAAGTTTTATGTATTTAGAGTGACTACTTTACTTGATATACTTTAATTAATGCTAATTTATTCTTACCTAGTCATGCTGATGGATCAATAAAATTTTGGGATGCTTCTGCAAGTAAGTTTTATGGTTATTTCCACTAAACAGAAAACATTTTATTAATATTCATTCATGGCCACCCACCACTTTTTAATTTGAATAATTGCCATTTGAGAAATATTTTAGTATGATTATATTACATTACTTTGTTACAAAATTCATTTCCTGTTTTTTAGATCAGATTAAAGTAGCTCTATCCTAATTGTATTCAATAATATTAAATAAATAAGACCATGGCCACTCTTTCAGCCATCCTATGTAAAAAAAGAATTTTGCATCAGGAAAAGTACCTAGCTTTGCCAGATTAACTGTTGGAGGAATTCCTTCTATTTCCTACATGTGTGCTATTTGACAAGTGTTTTCATTCCTCTGTTCTCAGCTTCTCTATCCCACTCTGTAATAATCTGTGAGACTCAAGACAAATTATTTGATAACAGAAAAAATTATTTTTAATACTTTGACAATTTGGTGATTTAATGAATAACATATATTGGTTACTGTGGAAGGGCCTTTTAACTTAACTAAGTCTTCATTTTACCCATATTTGTCGTTCACAAAGCATTTTCTTTTTATTCCCTATTTTTAAAACAATCTTATTTTGCAAACCAACCCAAGTTCCCTCTCCCTCCCAAACTTCTACTGCCTCCATTTTCTCCCCACCCCATCCCCCATCTACCTCTTAGAGAGTGTCAGGCCTCCCATGGGGAATTATGTTCTTATGAAAAGTGAAAGAAATGCACGTATATAAACACACAGCAAACTATGAAAATGTAAAGGTAGTGTAATCAAATGATATTTTAATAAAAAATGATAGAGATTTATTTGAACCAGTAAGTTTCAAGAAAGATTATATGTTTATGTATTTATTTTTCAGACAGGCTATTTTTAGGCAGCTTATTCTGGCCTCTAAGACCTTCATGCCTCAACCCAAGTAGAAAGGATATTTTAATGACTTAACAGCTAATCTGAATTTTGTTAGGTAGTTAAAACTCCAGTGGTTCTCAGACTTCCTAATTTGGGGCCCTATATTAAACAGTTTCTCATGTTGTGACCCCTTACCATAAAATTTTTCATTGTTACTTCATAACTGAAATTTTTCTTCTGTTATGAATTGTAATATAAATATCTGATATACAGGATATATGATATGTGACCCCTGCAAAAAAGTCATTCATAACTCACAGTTTGAGAACCACTAACTTCAGTAGTCAAGACTCAGGCAGTGGTGGCACACACCTTTAATCCCAGCACTCGGGAGGCAGAGACAGGAAGCTATCTGTGAGTTCCAGGCCAGCCTGGCCTACAGAGCAAGTTCTAGGACGGGCTCCAAAGCCACACAGAGAAACCCTGTTTCAAAAAAAAACACCCATAAAAATAAATTTTAAAAAATCAGAAGAAAAGAGTAAGTTAGCAATTACTTTAGTTTCTGATAATGTGTAACCACAAGGCAACAATCTTGAAACTAAGAAACACAAGAAAACCAGTTAATATGACACAAAGATGTTATCTAACCTACAATTCTGTTTCAGTTTTACCGCTGCTCAATGATTTCCTTTACAACAGCAGCACAACAGCCAAAAAGGATCACGTTTCATCTAGTCATATTTTGAGATTTTAAAAATCTAGAGTGAACCCAAGTATTTCATGTCACTGACAATTTTTAAAGTTCAGGCCAATTATTTTTTCTTGAATTGGGCTGAGTACTGCTTCTTGCTGAATTCAAGCTGTGCCCTTCTAGCAGGGGCTGCTAGAAGAGTTTTCTTGATGACCATTCTTAGAGCAAGAATCTTTTGTTTTATATGAGGAATTGTGTTTTTATTCTAGTCTGAAGTGGAAATAACTTCCCCTGAATAAGTATTACTGAAAGCCATTCATAAACCCAGAGTTTCATGAGTGTATACCTGACCTTTTCTTAACTAAAAACACCCAGATGAAATCTTTCTTAAGACAACTAAAGATTTCTGCCTAAAAATAAAAAATAAAAAACTATCCAGAATATTGTATCAACATCTTATCAAGCAACTAAGGGGGTGGTTGTGAAAAAAAGCATGGAGACATCCCACCTGGAAGATTGTTTCCATTATAATCTTTCATAATTCCAATGCTCATAAACAATTTTTCTCTTTCTCTTGATACTACTGGCAAAGAGGGCATGACACTGAGGGTTTACTATGTAAATGGAATTTACCCAAGTTGGGTTTTATTTTTGTGGTTCAACAAAATATACTGAAGTAAACTTGAACAATGTCTAAGAATTAAAAATCAAACTAGGAAACAACTACACTTTAATATTTTATAGTGACTCTGCAGATGTTGTACAAGTTAAAAACTTCAAAAGTATTTGAAAAGCAGAAGGTAGGAGATGGCAAGCAAACATGTGAGATTGTAGAGGAAGACCCATTTGCTGTTCAGATGATTTACTGGTGTCCAGAGAGCAGAATATTTTGTGTATCGGGAGTCTCTGCATATGTCATCATTTATAAATTCAGCAGACACGAAATTACAACAGAAATAGTGGTAAGTTACTTTAACTTTCCTATTTATAGTTACTAAAAGAAACAATTATGTATTTGAATTTTTACTTGGTATGGTTTGCAAGTCAAGAGACAGTATAAAGAACATATATAATCCATAGTATTTTAAATTATTGTTACTTAATGTATTAAAATAGTTCATTTTCAAATGAACAGTTCTCTAACAAAACTTCAGTGTCAAAATGAACTTGCTATTTTAAATTAATCTCACTACCAATTGAACTGTTCTCTTTAATTTTGTATCTACCTGACTGTATTGAGTCATTTCTTAAGTATTAATTGCCAATATTATCATATTAGCATTACATTTACTTGTAAAGAAAATTTTTTATTATTATAGTATGACACATTTAAAGTAGTTATTATATGTCTAAAAATGTATGTGCATACAAGCATTTGATTAGTGTAGAATTTTGCTTTCTGTATAAGTATCAAATTAGTATAGGTTTTGTCCTGTTTAAAAATTTAACTGCTTTATGTTTTCTTGCTACCTATCTATCATAAATGATTATTTCTCAACTATAAGACAGCCACTCTTAATGGTTTTTATGTAGTAAAATTTTTATATGGTAAAAATAATTATGATATTACCTTACCAAAATTTTAATTTTAAAATTCATTACACGAAATTCTGATTATACAAAGCAATGATGTTACTATGGTATTAATTACATCTAAAGTTAATATACCTATAATTTTCCTATTCTGTTCTATGTAATTTATGACTCTTTGCATGACTATAAAGATTATTCCACACAAGACTCTTTTATATTTTTACCTCAACTAAAATTCTTATTCTTTTAGAGTATATGGAATGCCTGGGGCTTGAGGTAACAGGTGCCTGAGTTCCAACCCTAATTTTACCACTGATTTGTGTGTGTGTGTGTGGTGGGTGTGTGTGGTGTGGTGGGTGTGTGTGATGTGGTGTGTGTGTGTGTGTGTGTGTGTGTGTGTGTGTGTGAACAACAGGCAGTAATAGAATCTGGGTACAATCTATTCTCACACACACATGCATATATATAAATATGTTTATGTGTAATTTCCTGCGTAAAAAAATGGAAAGAAGAACATGAATGCAAAGTGGAAATACTCAAGCTAATTTCGTCAGGTTTTCATAATGATGTTATAGCAACATCAGCACCATGTATGAATAAGTAGTCAATAACTAATAACCAGATTGTCACTATCAGAAGGCTTCCAGTAGTGTAGAGATAACTATTATAGTAAGTTTGATGATATTACTGTGTTCATGACATATGAATAATATCTTAATCTGCTTTTCAATATCAAAGTGTACTCATTACAATGGAAATTAAATACTTTTTATAAATACACATATCTGTTTTAATTTCTTTCATTGGGATAACTATCAATTTCTTCTTTTATTTTTATCATCCACCAAACTATAATTTATCATACGAAAATGTCTTAGATAGGGTTTAAATTACTATGATGAAACATTATGACCAAAAGCAATTTGGGAAGGAAATGGTTTATTTCGTTTATTCTTCCAGATGTTGCCAGTCACCAGAGAAGTCATGGCAAGAACTCAGGCAGTGTGAGAACTCAAGCAGGGTGTGAACCAGGAGGCTATACCTGAGACAGATGGGGTGGAGGAACATTGCTTACTGGCTTGCTCCCCAAGACTTACTCATCCTGCTTTCTTATACAACTCAGAACCACCTGCCCAGAGTTGGCACTACTCACAGTGGGCTCCCCCCCCATGTCAATCACTAAGAAAATACCCAATGGGCTTGCCTATTGGGAGACATTTTCTCAATTGAGGCTCCCTCTTCCAAAACAACTTTACCTTGTGTTAAGGTGGCAAAACAAATTTAAGAAATCACAGGAATATTTATTATATAAGAATTTATTTTCATTAACAGGCATCTTTCTTATCAGTCTGAGGAATTAAAAAAATTGGGGGGTCATTGTCATTGAATAGTCCATATAATTCATTAATTATTTCTCAAATTGAGTGTGTTATTGAATTTGCTGGTCTAAAAATTAAGAATAATTTCTAAAACCTCAGGTATATTATTGTGATTACTATTATAGCAACTTAGACTAAATTAAAACCTGACATTTTTTTTAGTCATTAGAGGTACGACTTCAGTGTGATGTTGAAGATATTATTACCCCCGAACCAGAAACAAGTCCTCCATTTCCAGATCTGTCCTCTCAACTCCCCTCATCAAGGAGTCTTTCTGGAAGTACCAATACTGTGTCTAGTGAAGGGGTGATGAAGGACAGCATCCCGTGCCTCAGGTAAGAACTGCTACCAAGTGCCAAAGCATGTTCCTTCGTTAATTACAGGACTATTACACAGTGTAACAGATAAAGTTGTTATTGTCTCTTGCTGTTAAATGAGCTATGAGAGCATCATTTTTTTCTTTGAATAACTCCCAAAAAGGCACACAGTGTTTTCATATTTCATTTGCCTATTTAGATTTTTTCCCAGAAGGTTCTAAAGAGAACACAGCTTTGATAAAATGGGAAATTTAACAAGGCAAAACCCTGACCTGCTCCTCTAATTAGTAGTTGTTGTTAAACATTTTCCTCAGTATAACTAATTTAAAAACATAATAAAGAAGCTTAGTTTGTAAAGCTCATAGCAACATTTATCTTGCTTTTATACTTTTCATAATAGGATTTATAAATTATTACTTTTATGTTGTCAAATAAATGCTATTGTTAGCTGATTGGAGAATTCACCCTAAGTTCCTTAAGCCCCATATGACAATGTATGTTTCCATTACTTCAGAACTCTAGAACGCTTGTTTCCTTATTTCTTATGCAAGTATTTTTGGAAAATTTAGAGATAAGATTTCAACAACAAAAGCTATAAAATCATCAGTAATCCATTACTTTCTTCTTTAAATTTTTTTAAAATTTCAAAAATAAAATATAACATGGGACTGACCCAAACCCCCTGAATGTGGGTGTCAGTGAGGAGGCCTAGGTAATCTATGGGGCCTTGGGTAGTATTTATCCCTGGTGTACAAATAGACTTTGGGTGCCCATCCCACAATGAGAGATACTCTCTCAGCCTAGACTCTTGTGTGAGGGCTTAGGCCCTGCCCTGTATGAAATGACAGACTCTGGAGATCCACTGTAGAGGACCTCACCCTCCCTGGGGATCAGAGTAGAGATTGGGATTGGGTGGGGGACTGGGGGGCCTGGTGGGGAGAGTGGGTGAGGAAGGGAGAGAGAGCGAGCTGGGATTGACATGTGAAATAAGCTTGTTTCTAACTTAAATTTTAAAAAGGTATAAAAAAAAGAAATATAAGCATGAAGTATTTGGAAGAAAAATCTGCAAGCAAAAGGAAGCCATTAAATTTTAGTTAGCAAAAATCTCATAAGTTTATTAATATATGTATTTACATTTATTTGTGTGCATGTATACACACACCATTGTGTACATGTTATCTTCAGAGGGCAACTTGTAGGTATGTAGGAATCTGTTTTCTCCTTATACATTGTGGATCCTCAGGTCTTTCAGACTTGATGGCAAGCACTTTTAATTGCTGAGCTACCCTGCCAGTCCATTCCTACTTTTAATTTTCCTTCAAACCACTTTATTTCATTTAACCTAATTCAAAGAAAATTGAATCAAATAACAGAACACTGTAGAGCTATTTGTTTCCTAAGAAGACCTATCACTAGATAGGTAAACCTTCTAACAGCATAGACATTTATAACATGTAGAATTTAAGATAGGGACGATGGAGAAAAGCCAGTAAAATAAGGTCTGATGTGAAGATGAAGTTAGCATTAACAATTATCAGCATGTAATAGGGTTCACTTGAGGAGCACTGAAGTAAATCTCATCTGCATTCTTGCCCCCAAGCATGCTAAAGCTGTAAGTGATAGAATTACTTTTTCTCCTTCTTCCAGTGTTAAAGCACGTCCAGTGAGGATGCCCCCTGGCTATCAAGCAGATCTTGTTATTCAGTTGGTATGGGTAGATGGTGAGCCTCCCCAGCAGATTACCAGCCTTGCAATAAGCTCAGCGTATGGAATGTAAGTAATTAACCTTTCTTTCTAGCTAATGTTACAGAATTTTAAACATTTTGCAAATGCTTCTTTTAAAATATTAAGACTGAAAAATTGAATAATTCCTTAGTTCAATTTTTATTAGATTGACCATAGTATGATACATTAGCAATTAAGCTTATGCTATGATAATTTTATTTGTTTTCTTTTCCTTGATTTTGTATTAGTGGTAATGTGCCTACTTCAGTTTGGAGGGGGTACTTATTTAGATTTTTCTGCCCACCTTTTACCTTAAGTTTCACTTTGGGTACCATTTTTTGACCTGTCTTGTAGAGTTAATTTCCACTTCATCTAATTGATAGTAGATCTGCCTGCAGAGTTTGGTGTCAGTTACATTTGCAAATATAGCAAGTTTTAGATTTCTGATGAAAACTGGCTCTTTTTATCCTCCTACCCATGGGTGAGTTCAAGATACCCTTTTCAAAAGATTGGTCTTCAAAGGCAAGGGAAAGGAGTGTCAGAATTGAGAGGCTGTGGAGATATGCCACTCAACTCAGGAACTAAGGAGAATTAGAGTGAATCCTTGGAGAAAATACTCTCTGTATAGGAACTCCACTGAAGAAAGTATAAATGGCAGCTTGGGTACTTGCCTTATAGAGCTTCGGTTGCCAAAAAAAATCCCCACCTCAAATCATCCTCAAAATGAATTCCACAAATATTAAAGAAATAACTAGTATAATCATTATAGAATGTTTCTGAGATTTATCAAAGATGAAATCGTGCTTGTCTCATTTTACGAGGTAACAAATTTTGAGGACTTGAAAATATTATTACAAGGATGTAAAATTATGTCTATGACTTTTATCAACATGAATTAAAAATTCTACTAAAATATAAATAAATGTATCAAGAAAACTGATAAAATTATTCATCATCAAAGTTCATTTCCATTGGGAATGTAGATTGTATCATCATTTTAAATGAAGCAGGGCAGTTTATCAAATAACAGAATAAAGTAGAAAAAGCATATGTTTATATCAGGGACGAAAGAACCAAAGCATATGAAAAGATGCCTGTGCTGCAGCAGATAGAGCTGCACCTATACACACACTGGAAGCACCAAGTAGATTCAGAGGTTAGAACAACATGACCACTTGAAGTTGGGAAGAAATGATGGAAGGTGAATGGGAGAAGAATTGGGATAAACTTGATCAAAACACATTGTATACATGTGCAAAAGTCTCAAACTATAAAACACACACACACACACACACACACACACACACACATTGTAATGTTCAATGTCCATTGGTGAGTTTAAAAGAAGCTACCAGTTCAAATATGAAGACAATTTTCTTACTCTAATACATGGCAACAAGCACTATACTTTTTGGTGAAAGATATTTTACCTGAGTTTTAAAAAATAAAAGACAAATATCTTAATTTATTTGGGCTGCTGTAATAAAACACCTTAGTCTGGGTAATTTATTTATCTTTTTATAAATTTATTTAAATTAGAAACAATTTTATTTTATATATCAATCCAGTTCCCTCTCCCCCCAATCCTCCCATGCCTCCCACCAACCCCACCCATCCTATTCCCCATTAATTCCCCAGGGAAGGTGAGGTCTTCCATGAGAGATCATCAAAATCTGTCAAGTCGTTTGGGGCAGGGCCTAGGTTAAAAGAGTATCCCTCCATGGGGAATGGGCTCCTGAAGTCCATTTGTGCACTAGGGATACATTCTGGTTCTACTGCCAGGGGCCTGTAGACTGCCCAGTGCTCCTAGCTGACACTCATGTTCAGGGGTCCTGGATTAGTCCTATGTTGGGTTCCCCAGCTGTCAGACTGGGGTCCATGAGTTCCCACTTGCTCAGGCCAGCTGTTTCTGTGGGTTTTCCCAGCATGGTCTTGACCCCTTTGTTTGTTACTCCTTCCTCTCTGAGACTGGATTCTAGGAGTTTGGCTTAGTGCTTAGATGAGGATCTCTGCTTCTGTTTCAATCAGCTACTGGATGAAGGCACTAGAATGGCATATAAGGTAGCCATCATTCTCATTATAGGGGAGGGGCATATAAGGTATCCTCTCCACTATTGCTTAGAATCCTAGTTGGGATCATCTTTGTGGATTTCCGTACAATTCCTTAGTACTAGATTTCTCTTTAAACCTATAGTGGTTCCCTCTATTGATGTGTCTCTTTTCTTGCTCTCTTCTGTTCATCTCCCCACTCAATCTTCCTGATCCCTCATGTTCTCCTCCCCCCTCCTCTTTTCCCCTCCTTTTTCTCCTACCTCCTTCTCCCTCCCCCCATGCTCCCAATTTGCTCAGGGGTTCTTGTCCTTTTCCCCTACACCATGGGACCATGTATGTCTCTCTTGTTTCCTAGCTTCTCTGGAGGTGTGAGTTGTGGTCTAATAATCCTTCGCTCTATTAAACTAGGTAACATATATAACAGAAGTATGTTACTCAGTTCTGGAGTCTGGAATATCCAAGCTCAGGGCATCAGCCGATTCAGTGTCTGACATTGTTCACTGTTCAGAAATGGCATCTGATCATGGACAAGATAGCGCACAAGCTTTCTCTCCTCCTAAGGGACCTGATCTCATCTGTGAGATGGATATCCTCAAGACCTAAAGACTCCACATCTCAATCCTGTCACCATTGGGTTTTACGTTAAACATACTTGATAATATTCATTGTATTTGTTAACTGTGTGTGCTGTTTAAGCTTACTGAGAAGCTGGCCCTAAAGCAAGGATTGATGTGCTTCCTTATTTCAGGCCTAAGCATGTTTCCCGAAAATGTCCTCCAAGGCCCCTTGTCTAGGGCCAGGCTGGCCTAGTGGTCTTGTGAAATAAGCAGCCAGCAGAGGGTATTGAAAACACTGTGTCCTTGAGAACAGCTAGAAAGAAAAACCATTTCAATAGAGGCTTCTGCTAATTATCACATACTATGAAAATGTCTTCATTGGGAGTGAGAAGCCAGAAGCTCATCCAGAAAGAGGAAGTGCAATCTGGAACTCCAGATGACTGCCTCAACTTCCCCAGTTGACTTCTGTCAGATAAGCCCTAAACTTTGTAATATCTTTGTTTGTGTTTGTTCTCTCAAGCAGGCTACTCCTTGATGTACTTGCATTCTAGATGTTATAAACTAAATTGATTGTTTCTCTATTTGTTTTATGCCTATTTTTTCTTTTACTTCTGATCACTATAAATGTAATAAATGTAATATTTCTATTGTAAGTCATTTTTAGACCACATAGAATACATGATTTTTGTGGAGCTACAGAAATTCAGACCATAGCTTTCTGCTCCAGATTCCCCCAAATTCATGTATTTATCACTTGCAAAATAACCTTTATTCAACATTAACAACTCCAAAAGTCTTAACGTTTCAGCATCAGTCTGTAAGATTTAAGCCTGAAGATTCATCTAGATGCCATATCAGACAGGCAGGCATAAGACTTAAAATATGATTCATTGAGAGGTTATCCACGCTTCCTCGGGAGTTTCATTTACCTACCTAAAAGTTATGATTCAAGAATCAAGCTCTTCTGTAGCCATGATCCTGTGAATTATATGCTTCCAAAATAAAATGGCAATCATTTTGTCCCACCATTCCAAAACTCATAAATATGAAAGAAGAGGGTAATATATTCCAACTAAAACCAAAATATAGTGTGGAGGCATTAAATCTTAACTCTGGTTAATAATTTGACTTCGTAATCCACCTTTCAAACACAATAAGGCCTATTTGGACCTGAAGGTTTAGGGTAACCATGTCGCTAGTGGAGAATAGTATTATAACTCTAGTGGGCTGAAGTCCCATGCCTGACTCTCTCCTATGTTGAAATGGACAGTGGAAGATTCACTAGGAGGGAAATACACCCCAGTAGTCATCTCCCTGATAGGTGACTTCTTGCTTCTCTTTGTCAATTTTCTGGCTAGGACTCAAAGTCCCTAGGGGGACTTTCTTAGAAATGTTGGTGAAGAGAGTAAGCCCACGTTTGTTTTTTGTATCTGTGTGCCATGGGAGCTGGTGTGAATGGATATCATCGTGACCTGAGTATTCCTGAGGGGCAGCTACTAGGCCCATAATACACCTGGGGCTACTGAAATCATACATGGAATTGATACAAACCACTGTTAAGAAACATGAGTAGGAGAAACACCAAGTACAGAATGGATAACAAATATAAGTAACAGATGGATAGCAAAACATCAAATCCAGCAAAGGCTACAAAAATAGCCTTATTTGAGAGAACAAACAAAAGTAGTATCATTAAATCAAGGCCTTACAAACATATGGCAGAAATCAGCTGGGGAAGTTGAAGTAGTCAGTTCCAGGAGTTCAGGTTGAATCTTCTGTCCCTGGACCAGCCTCAGCTTTCTGCTCTGCTGCAAGCATTGTTATACTGTGAGATAACAATAGTAACCTCTGTTGTTCACAAGAGCACGGTGTTTTTGTTCTTGGGCCATTTGCTTCTCTTTCCCCTTTTACAGAGCCAATGAGAAAGTCTTATTCAGGATAGGGACTTTACAGAATTCTTGACATAAACATATTTGAGTGTGAGACAAGAGAGGAATTTGCACTCCCAAAGTCTGCTTTCAACAAATGTAAACAACACATTACCAATTTGCCAATATAATTGACATTATACAGGGAAGGCGTTATATGCACTGAGCCATATCCCTAACCCCCTTTTTGCAATTTCTTTAATGAAAGTTCTGTGTTTCCATTGTGGCAGCCATTAACTTCTTTTATTGTTTCCTCTTAGATTTTTTTAAATAGCTATCTATTATGAACTGAATGGCTTTTATTGTTGGTATATAAGATAACAAAATTCATTATTGGTGTACATGATAGCTAATGACTTATTTCTGTTAGCTTTGTATCCTTGAATTTTATTGAATTTAGCATGAATGGAGTGTTACTATTTCCATTAGGGATGAGTATTACCCCCTCAGTTTTTTCTAGACACAATAATTACAATACCCTTAAAGTCATGCATCACCAACCTCTAGGTGA